GGTTTTATTGAACAAAATTGTTAAAATACAATGTATTATAAACAATAGAGCTAATGTACATTACGCATTACAACAAAGGCCTGCAGAGGGCACCAACGGACTGACGATTGTTTTTACACATTGCTGTGCGATCTAATCCTTGTTCAATATTGACCAAGCATCATTTAATTCAAATGTCCACTTAATCTTTAATATTTGGCCATTTCTTTAGGACAGAAATGCTATAGTCACTGTAATTAAATGAATACTCTGTGCGGTCGTCACCGGTCTATTAAAACACACAACATATTAAAGCGTCTTTGGTGTTTCCATGTTTTCTATAAAACAAAAACGGAAATCGACGGGTTATGACGTCATTGGCAGGCGACACAAAGACACTATGGACATGCTCCGTGTCACTAGTTAAAATTGCTTATTTCTCTGGATTTAAACATTCTTCAAAACATTTGGGATAATGTAAGTACACAAGTCAGCAAAATATATAACACTGTTCTAGTGGTTTTTGGATATTTTAATAAACAAATCGTACATATTGTGCCTTTAACCCAAAAAGCAAATTATGCTCCCTTCGAACTGTTTTTTCTTTAAAACACAAATCTTTGTAATCCCAGGCTATCTGTAATCAGAATCACATTTATAACTGGAATATAATTTAATTATAGTTTTGAACACTGGCTGGTTATGTACTTGCTCAAATATTGATTTCGGATCATTTTTAACCAAAAAAAAGTAACAGACTGCAGCTTTAAAGTCATGTGGTGCAACCAACTTGCAGGGGCATAAAAAAAAAAAAAACCTTCTGACTCTGTGTCAAGGTCAGTTTCATAAAATGAGAAGAGAAGGCAAGGTTAGTTTAGTTTGCAAAATGTCAAGAAAAAAAGTCACTATGTTCCCTAAAACTTGAAATTACTGAATTTTTATTGGAATTGTTTTGTAAAAGTGTATATGTATATATAAACAAACTACAGAAAAAATTAAAGGGGTCCTATTATGCTTTTTCACTTTTTCAACTTTAGTCTGTAATGTTGTTGTTTGAGCATAAAAAAGATCTGCAAAGTTACAAAGTCCACTTCAAAAGGAGATATTTTATTTAACAGAAATCACTTTTCAAAAACTACAAAGAACGACTCGTTTGGACTACAATGCATATTTTCCGGGATTTGTGATATCACACGAATGGGACGAGACCTGGTTGAGCTGCACTAGAGAAGGCAACGAGTGTTATCACTATGTCTGAGACACGCTAGCTTTTCCAAGGCTGATGAACTTAGAGTGGTGACAATCATCCGGGTTTAAATTGAATAATGTAAAATATGTGAAAAATAATGTGTTTTTCGAACAACCTAGCATGAGAGCCTGTTCTAGTTATTCAGGCATGCTACTTCGTCATTAAAAGACACTTTATGATACACGGGAGTCTGCCAACAAGCGGGCTGCAGACCTGCCTTCTGATTTTTCCATTAAAACGACCTTCCCGCATCGGTTTAAAGATGTGTGTGAAAGGTTATCCGGGAGGGTGCTCGCCGAGAGAATTACAGAACCGTATTACAATATCTATGAGGAGGAATGGAAAGGGGTGTTTGGACTCAACAAATGCCTCAACACAGGTCCCAAATCTCGGAGCGCTCAAACATGTTCCTCAGAGATCCAGAGGAGGGAAAATTCCTTATTCACTGTCCCACCCTCCACACTAGCTTATTCCTCTACTCATCCCCCTTTGATAACTCTTCTTTATCCCAGGCAGTAATTGTTCCCCATTTGTGCCAATTAGTTGCTCAGCTTCTTTCTTTCCTTGTGGGATTTCTACCCCCCTGCAGAGGCGTCAAGGAGAAGAATTTGCTAGGGGGTTAAACCTAATTCTTACAGTGCAATCACAACTCCTCCAGACAGGGTCACCTAGACCCAGACCGGATGCATGGGGAGGAACAAACATACCAAGCTCTAGAGGAAAACTATTTCTGCTAGGGGACTTAATTGCCCGTGACGCCAACCTCAAGGCTTTCAAAGCAGAGGCTGCTTCCAGTGCAAACGCACCCAAACTACTTAAGAGTGTGTGTGCTTAAATTCATTTAATCTTAATGACATCTAGCCACTGTGTTGATAGCGAACATGTTCTACCGCATTTCCTGTTGAACAAGTTGCATGTAACCATTTAGTCTTCATTACCATCTCCAACTACTATAAATACATTCACCTCTGCATCTTGTAGGCCTGTCCAGCACAGAGGAAACATCTATTTGTGCGTAAACGAGAAAAATGTGTTTCTTCTGTAGCAAAAGCCTCTTTTACACTCTCAAAGAGACTCAAAGAGATCTCATTTACACCTTAGACATTTCCAAAGCAAAGAAAATACTTGCATTTCAATGAAAGAATGCATTAAGAGTGTCTTTGTTTGCAAGCATAAAAGCTACTGGTATTTTAAGGCTGTTTAGCTCATTAAGTCACATGCCAGGGTCTAGTGCACATTTTACGCAGACTGGCGATTCAGTGCCTATTCCCACGGTAAGAGTTCAAAAGACCTGAGAACCTGGAGATGGAGGAGAAATGAAAGGCATAACAGACTTATGGCAGAGAGAAAAGGTGGAGAATGGGGACAAAAGGCAGCAGAGAAAAAGAGCAGAGGAGGCGGCGGATGGGATCTGGCCACCGTCGCATTCCGACACGTCACATTCCTGCTCACATCTGGCTGCAATACACACAATCCCTGTTACCATTCACTCCCTGAAGACTCACTTTCTTTTTACATTCACACAAACAGGCAATCTTGAGAGCTGACCAGGTCACCTCTCACTTCCATCAATGTTCCCTGCAAGCCATCACCTCTGATTCTGTTCCCTTTCCTCCGCAACAGGGATGTAAAAAGATGTTACTTCAGTACCAAGATTCTATTAAAACAAATTTAATAAATGCCTAATAAACCAATCTAACATGCCTAAAAGTACTGTCTAGTATTTTTATTATTATTAAACTTACAAGGAAAAGAAAAATGCCTTACACCACAGCGAAACGAATATGCTATTGAAGGCACTCATATTCAAAGTATTAAAAAAGTAAAAATGACATCCTCGACATATACAGCACAACTGTGCTCACAGTGACCCGAGTTCAAGTCCCGTCTCGAGGTCCTATGCCGACCCCACTGCCCTCTCTCTACCCAATGCTTTCCTGTCATCTCTCCACTGTCCTGTCTGAATAATAAAGGAATAAAAAGTCCATAAATATAACTTTTAAAAATGCTGTATTTTTTTCTTGTTAATAATGTTGTTTAATAATGATAATTATTGATAGCACAACAAATTATTATTATTTTAATAATATCATTAATATTAAACACTATTAAAAAATAAAAAAATAGCATTTTTTTATATATTTTTTAAATATTTTTAGAAGTTTCCTTTATCTTTTATTGTTAATAAAGTTGCTTAATAATAATTATTATTGACAATAAAAACAATTATTATTTTATTAATAATTCATATTAAACAAGAAATTAACAAAACAAATGAACACTGCATTACTACAGTTTTGCAAATATAAGTAAACATGCTGTTACAAATGTTGTTTAATATCAATATTATTAATAAATACTTTTGATAGAATAACAATTATTATTATTATTAATTAAAGGGGTCCTATTATGCTCTTTTACAAAGTCTTGAATGTGATTTCTGTTAAATAAAATATCTCCTTTTGAATTGGACTTTGAGCTTTGTAACTTTGCAGATCTTTTTTTATGCTCAAACAGCAACATTACAGACTAACTAAAGTTGAAAAAGTGAAAAAGCATAATAGGACCCCTTTAAACAACATCAATAGCAATAAAAAGAAAACACTGCATTTTTATTTATTTAATATATAAAAGTAGTATTTCAATAGCATATTCATTTTTGCTGTGATTAATAAAGAATGCCTCAACAGAGAATCGTGAAAATTTCACTGGCATTGCTATTGACTATTTAAATTTTAGCATTTTGACAACACTTGTCCACACAAATACTCACATTATCATCAGATGTTGTTACACATCATTTAAGAGTATGCTTCAAACAACCCTGAACATCATAACACACCCCAGCTCTCGCAGAACTTGCCAGAAAACCGACTGTGTTGAGTCCATTTAAAACCACCCGGCTGCGCTGCCAGAGACACAGAGCTTTGGTAAAGCTGGATGGCCACATGCGAGTCAACATGGGTCTCATTTAGAAATAGCTGTGGCTCAGAGCGGATGGGTGACAAATCATGTGTGAGTGAGGGAGATGTGCCATCAGCACTTAATTTATCCTTCCTTGTCTGTCCAGTCATTGACTATCAATCCAAACACCATCTCACCATTTCATCTCAGAGGCAACAGCCCGACACAGTCCTGGCTCGATTCTAACTCTTTCAGCTACCCAGGGGGATGTTTTTCCTTCAAATGTACCCTTGATGAACTCTGGTTCTATCCGGATGCGTGTGACCAGGCCTTTAGTTTGTCTCACTTTTCCTCATTTGACACACTTTTTATGGCATTACAGCATGAAGAGAAGTGAGCACATAAAACATGCATTATAAACCAGGCGAGAGAGTGTGTGTGATAGCGTCTGTGGGGTTTTCCCCTCCTGAATGAGTCAGCAGTGTCGATGCATGTTCCCATGCACCCCTCTGCCCTACACTGGGGAAACCTGATCCCTCTCTCTCAGCCTGATATTCACTGCCACATGCACTGCAGAGAGGAACCCAGGCCTCCGCATGTGTGTGTGTGGTCTGTCTGCAAGCATGAGAGTGTGTGTGTGTGTGTGTGTGTATGGCAGATGACTGTGGGATGTTGAGGGACAGGTGGAGAAATGGATGTATAGACTGTGTGTCTGGCAGTCGGGGGTGTCTGTCAAGCTAACTCTAGCAGTGTACAGAAGGGCAGCATGAGTGGATCAATATCGCAACTCATTTTAATGCAAATGATAAGCCAAACATTCGGATTCGGTAGATTTGCATGCGTGAATGTGTGTAAGAGCTGTACTGACGGTCAAAGTGACGGTGTCTCTGGGTGAAGGTGTTCTGCAGGTTGGAGCTGAGCTGATGAACGGGGGCTTTCACGTCCGTGCGGCTCTGCTGACTCAGTTTCTCCTCCATCTCCAGAGTACAGCAGGAGAAACCTTGAGGACACACCTTCAGATGATTTCCTGAAAAAGGCAAACAGAGAGAAGTGTAAGAAATGTAAACAGTATAACAAAACATTGCTTTTCTTTTTGCCATTATACAATTTTAATAACAATAATATACTATTAATACTTTTATTATTAAATTATGTATTTATTTCATTTATTTAAATGTTTTATTATTATAGTATAGATATAAACCAACTTTTCACTGCTATGCTATGCAATTTGTAAATGAAAAAGCATTTCTAGTAGTGGTCTCAGACTTTTGGACCCCACCACTTTGACAACATAAAGCGGTTTTACAATGCCAATCTTAGATGTTACAGAGCAAGTCCTTTTATTTACCCATTCTTCATCAAATGAATTATGTCTAGACATTTTGAGAACTGAAAGCTGAAAACCTAACGTCAAACTCATATCCAATACAAATCAAAACAGAACTGAACACAATGTGCTTATAGTATAAAGTGAGCTAATAAGCCACAGTCATCCTAGATAAAAAGCAAAAACGGAATATTCAAGACACTGTGGACGCATGTTTCAGTAGCTCTAAGGGAACCTGGGCTTTCTTCGTGATTCGCCCCATCAGAAAACAAGTCTGCGCTTCGGTCATCGAGTGAACGGCACAGATGGACAGCGAGCGGCTGGATTAAACAAGGCATCACATTAACATGGGGAGTGTGAGCAGGGCGGACTGTGAAGTCGCAGCTGCAATAATGTTTTGTTTTTCTTTCTTTTTTTAATGCGGTTGTTGGAATTCAAGAGAACACAAGGGTCCTTTCAGTGGATTGGACTCCGACCGGTGGTTTGGCTACCCATGCTGCTGTTCAGCGAGACTGGCCACTCTGGATAGCACACTGCACACCGATGAGAGATCCCCGCTTTCAGGCCATTTCTCAGTGTGGATCTACATTTGGCTCCATACATTTCATATTTATTAATTGAAATTTAGATGATTTTGAAGGCCACTGTGTTTCTGTGAGGGATGATTGGGGCACAAGAACAATCTGAAATGATAATCAATCATATTAGCATGGCTCATGAATATTAATTAGGTGACAATGCTCACCCAATGGTCGTAAATAATTTATTGAAAAACAGATTAGAACAATTCAATTGATTGATCAATCTAATGAATGAAAGCACCGATGCAAACAGCATAACGGTATTTTTATTTTACTTTTTTTTTTTTTTCAATTTTTTTTATTAGATTTTGGCCGGTAAAGTGGCAGAATATCACCTACATTTTTGAAAAGCAGCTATATATAATGGTCGTTTCACCCCTGGGTTGACAAACTTGGGTTTACTCATGCACACTACTCTGTCTGTAACTGGTGCAGTGCATTCTGTCATGTGCACTACGATATCTGTGACATCGGCATGGGTGAATAGTGAGGAGCTGTTGAGAGCTTACAAATAATCACCATCTCACAAAATATCCAAGAGGAATTGTCACTGACCACTGCCGGGGCTTGTTTTACACATGCAAAGCAGGAAGGAGAGGCAGTGTGTGCTAATGTGAGGGATGGGACATCTTGTGCATGGCAATGATCTGCTCTTTAACAGATATCAGTGGGGTGTCAAACACCTTAATCAATCCTGCATTGAAGCAGATTTGCAAAAAATATATAAACAGAAGTTACTGATTTGTACATAAGGAGTCTCAAGAAGTTAGCTTGTAAAGTTGAAAAAGAGCAGCACCTTCACCCTGCCACGGCCCCAGACCTGTACCCCTCAACTCCACTGGGACCCCGTCCAAATCACTCACTCACTTTCACACACTTGGCATCAGGTACATACAAGACCTGTACATCATATCTCAGCCCAACAGACAGCTCTTTGTATAAGGGCATTTGGAGAAAGAGAACCTAACCTGAAAAAGCAAAGCAAATATTCTAGTAAAAACACAGAAAATGGAACCAAATTTAAAGGTTTTGCAAATTACTGAACAGGGAAAACAATTTTGAACCTTTGGCCATTTCAATACAGACCATTAACTAATCAAAACATTCAATGCAGGGGAAAACGTGATTTTAGTAACGATTTTTAAGCTACACATAAAAATACGGCCTTCTTGAGTTTATATGTACTCCAAAACGTAAAAGTTGTAATTTCTGCACCACTAGCTGCACTAAATGCTATTTGCTGATGCCAAAGTTGACACATCAGCCTGCTAAAACAAACCATATTTCACATCTTCCTCAATAGGTTTATAATCAATACATCCATCTTTTAAGAGTCCCAAGTCAATATGGCTGCATGCACAAGCTAATCTTGGCGGACACATGCAAAAGGGAGGCCCTCTGTGATTTCATGTTGCTTTAACGCAAGGCCAAACTTTTTGACAGCAATAAGATCCATTTCCATGTGATTCTTAGTAGTAAACCACCTGACTATAAATCTGAAAAAGATATTTGTTATTACCGTCTTCAATATGTCACTTCCTATTGCTGTTCTGGAGGCCCAAGAACATTCTGTTTTGCTGACGGATGAGTGGATGGAAATTGCCCTGTGGACAAAACCAAGATTAGCCCTGATGCCCCCCTTTCCTCTCTCTGCTTCTTCCCCGGACACGATGTGCCCCTGGCCCCAGACAGACTTCAGCCCCCATAACCCCACACCGCTAGCCAGCAGGCTGAACCACAGAGGTCGAAGGTTAACAGCCACTCCTCTGAGACAGGCCATGCACTGTGACCCTGCTAGGCACTGACCAGCAGACCCACCACCCACACATATTACAGACACACACACACACGCACTCAATCACAGGCCGGACCCTCTGAGTCAGAAGTCATAAATTCTCTGGGGGATTATTTCAGGCAGGCCGGCACTTTAAATTACTCTGGCCACCACATCAACATGCTGTTGCCAAAAGAAACAGAGTAATGGGCTTCCCTGTTGTCTGCCTAATAAGACACATGCGGCAACTTCCACATGCCTGCACGAGTGTCATCAAAACCATCGCTTCTGTGTACAACCATCATTTCAGGTGGTTATGAGCCATGGAGAATCATCATTCGGCTTCTTCCATGAAAAACAAACTCACATTTCTTAGAAAGCCATTTTCAGCTACTCTTTTCCTCAACAGAGTAGATTGAAAGACACCCTCGTCAAAACCACAGAGAAACCAAATATGTATTTCCACATAACACAACACTGTTAATGATTGCCATTCAAAGTATAACTGACAGAAATGATGCCTTTTAATATTTGCATAATTAACTGTGATTGGTCTTCTTTCATGCATTTATTTGCATACTGAATTGTATTGGACAAACAACCTTAGGTAGATAAGGCATTTTTAATTTCCATTAATAAAAACAAGGCTGAGGAATAGAAGTACACTTCAAAGGGCTGTAATATTTAGCTGACGCAACAATGGAAAATCCTGTTGGAAAAAAGCCCCTCTGGAAATTGTGTTGTGGAAAATTATAAGTGACATAGGAACCTAAGACAGTTAAACAGACCGGTTATCTGGCCCTTTCAGCTTTTTTAAGAGAGAGAAAAAAAACAAGATGCCTACCACAGTGTTATTTTATTATTATTAATATACTATTATATTACTTTTCATTGTAACTTTAGCTTAGAACTAAAACTAGAAATCTTGCCTTGGAAACTTACTGAAAATAAGTTTAAGTTTTTCATCTAATATTTATATTTTATTTAAAATACCAAAAATGATTTTAGTAGTTTCAGTTAACAATAACAACCCTGGCCTACACTCACTAAGGTCAAATGTCAAGAAAAATAATTCAGTATGCAAATAAATGCAAGAAAAACAACTAATCACAAATAAGCATGCAAACATTGCAAAGGTGTCATCATTGTCCATAATATTTTGAATTAAGAGGTTTAAGCTCATTTTACTGTAGAAAACAGAAGAAAATACATTGTTTAAACTTTATAAGGCGCAAAAAAGACAATTCTTCACAGTGACGGGAGACTCCTGTGAGAGTTGACTACAAAACAACATGGCCAACATCCCAACACCAGAGCCATCTTTACACAAGCACAAGCTTCAGTAACAAGCTACATTTGGACAAGAAGCTTTTTCTCTGTTGTGGCCTGGGGTTCGAGGCGGCCCGACCCAACTAAATCAGATGTGTTCTTTAGGCTAGTTTTCATAAGAGATAACAACAACTTGCAGATGGTGATAAAACATCAAACCTTGAGGGGAAATGCTCTAAATGAGTATTGCTTGAAACCTTTGTGGAATGAGCATTTAATGAGTACACTCCCTCCTTTTGGCAGAGGACAGTCATGCATTGCTATGAGCTTCGAGATGAGAGCAGTTTTAATGGGATAAAAGGAAGAGCTAGATATTTGATTTCTAAATCATAGCCTTTCTATTATATGGTTGTCTCCTCCAGAATGTGCCTTGCATGTTCAGACATGTCCTTGCTGATGCACTCTCCTGCCTTCACACCATCTGCATGAAGACAGATCTCAGCACTCCTCTCTCTTTGTGTGGCCTGAGGCTATCTTTGGACTGTCCATCCTTCATTTACAGACTCATGAATACAGGGTGGAGGAAGGAGAGCTTTCACAAGGTCTCCTAACAATCGTCCTTCCCTGAATTCTGTCTAACAGCCTGAATGGACAAGGGCCTTGATATCAACAAGTATGGCATCATGCAACAGCTCTAAAGCATTTATGAAGCACACAAAACATTCACTTACAAGTTACAATGCTTTACAAAAACAACAAGAGCCAGAAAACACAGCTTTATATTTCTAGAGGCACTCTTGGTAATCACTAGTGCTGGGTGATATTGAGTTCCCACAATATATTTGCTGGCAATATAAAATGAAAGCAAGATTATGAGTATCTTGATGCCTTATGTGCTTTTATTTCACCATTACGTTTCCAAAAGTGCATTTCATTGCACAAGTCTGATGTAATGAAATACTGTTTAGGAATAGACAATCTTTTCCTTGTGTCACAATCTACAAACAAAATGGTTTGATAATGTCTTTTGATGTCAATTTTAAAAGCCAGAATGAGCTGGGAAATTTAAACAGGCCATTTCAATGAATTGTTCCAATACTCTGACTCAACTATTTGTTTGCATTAGGGCTGCACGATTAATCGCATGCGATGACGAGCTGCGCTAAACCACGTTCATATTCGTGCGATTTTTTGCGCAGCTCATCAGTGAACAACGGCTCTGTGTAGTTAATGCTGCTCAATGTGAAAGCACGCAGGTGATGGAGATTTACCGCTGATTACAGAACCGGCTATCTGACAAGATGCACGTTAAATATCGCATGCGATTAATCGTGCAGCCCTAGTTTGCATTAAACTCAAATGTTTTTCACAGAAGTGCCTGAGGCACTTTTTAAATTAAAC